ACTCACCACTTGCCCACTTGCCTCTGGTCTGCTGTGTATAACGTGAGAAGAAACTTGAAAGGCCACTTCCGGACCTTCAGGAAGTTTGCGGACTTGGCCTTTCAGGACTGTCGCAGTAACTATGACCCCTATGCAGGTGTGACCCCTACTTCAACAGGTCTAAGGCTCAACACCTGACAACTACTCAGACCTACGACAGACAACTTTCAACTACTAACACACAGGTCAGGGGTTGAAGACTCACAGGGTCGACGTGATACTGTACACCGGCAAGGTATTGTAAGGTGAGGTCTGGGGATAGAGCCCTGGGATCCGCGTCTGTGTCTGCAAAAGGTGAAAACCGTTTCACCTCATTCAATTTAAAGCAATCCAGCCTTACAGAATGCCAGTCACAGTTTCCATGCCTGCCCTCCCACTATAGAAACAAGGGTTTGTCATTCTAAATCTCTGTTTAACCACTGGTGTCAAACAAATTTGCCGCCTCTAAAATCATGCAAAACGGACAACCAAGCAGTGGACACACTGTGTAAACTCAGATCATTCAATTTAACACAGTCCAATCTTTGCAAAATTCCACTCACAGTCCTTCACTACCCTGATTTTGTTTCACACGGCAATCCCTAGACCAGGAGCTGAATTGGGAGGGTAACGCGCAAAACTCCTGAAATCAAGCACATAAAAAGTGACGGTAGGTGAACAGCTCATCAACGCCATACCCATCACAGCGCCATCTCTATTCTGAAGTTGAGTTTCTCAATTTCCGAAAATAAGCTCCCAGAATAGACCACAAAGCGGTGAAACGTCCAGTGTCATTCAATGCGATAACAAGCAGCGGAAGCAAAAAGCGCCTTCGAACTCCAAGTCTTCCACTCAAGTGTTCCCCATCGACGTGGACTCAACGTGGCACGAATCCTCAAACCAAGGGCACAGAGAAACCGTTACTATGAAAACACAAAACACTACTCAACCGTGCAGACTTCAAACAGCGAGCACTCACCTTGTCTACCTGCAGTCGTTATTTCTCTCCACCTATCTACACCAGAAAATTACCTTCCCAATTCACAACAAATGAGCCGCAGGCCGCTCCCATCACAGGTGCGAGAAAACCCAGCGGCAATTCCGTATCAAAGACCGAGGGGCGGGAGCCCCCGGTCGATTTCATAAGGTATTTTGACGACGTCCGGATCCCACCCTTGAGCCGTCCCCACTTTACTAGTCTCTCCGTCCTCAGCTCAGACAGGATTCCTGACTCGATGTCAACTGAGATGAGCCACGGCCAGGAGCCAGTCAAGCCCCTTTGGCACGCCCCACAGTGTGTCCACACACACCTCCCCGCTTCACCATAGCCAAACTCGCGCCAAGTTTTGGCAATCGTGGTCAACTGCTTTCGTCAACCCGAGCGCGATCTCCCGATGACCAAACGCCGCCCCGCTAGAACCATTCCTAAGAGTCCAAGCCATTACTCGCTGACTTAGAGAATCATGTCGTTCAGCCACTACATAATCGAGTTCGTTATCCTCATTTGTTCCGACTTTTATCCTCCGAGCCGGCCTCGGACGTGCGAGCCTCCTGTTTCTCTGTTTGACCAAGTGCTTTTCCACGCGCATTTTGGCCACGCTACCCTTGGTTGATTTACTCCATAATCAATACAGGAAGGAGACCGGATGCCCACTTCTTTGCGTCTTGCTTTCTTGTCCAGCATGTCTTGCTGCACTTCGTGCCTGCCTTCGGTCGCTTCCACTACCTCGAAATCTGCCCTGCGACCCTTGTTTTCTTTTTTTAAGGACCATTTCTCGATTTATGCGTGTCATCCTTACGCAGGGGCCATGCTAATCTACTCTGTATCGTTCCAATTTTAACGGATGTCCCGAAGGACCCTGCGACCCTTGTTTTGTTCACACAGACAAAAACAAGGTAGGATTCATCTGAGGGACGCGGGGCCTGTTTCCTGGTTTGATAACACAAAGTTGCTTTTGAAAAAAAAAAGGAAAAGAACAAGGCAGCAGTTGCCCTTTGGCCCTTCCGGCATAGTTGCACCACTTGCCATCCGCCAAGATTTTGAACGAATCTGAACACAGCAGTTGTCCTGATGCATTCAAGTTGTTGGCGGATGGAGAGTGGTGCACCTAGGCCCTTCTGGTTTACTAAGCTGGCAATCAGACCACCTGACCTATCTCAGTTGGTACACCCATGAACTGTTGAAATGCAGAATGGCGTTCGAACTCCAATGGAATCCAATGAGTGAAATCAATTTGAACCGTTACCAGGGGTCGGGTCCCACTCGGACCGTTTTACGACGCGTGTGACATGATTTTTTGATTTTTATATAATTGGAATTTTTTATTTTTATTTTTATTTTTTGTTTTGTTTTTTTAAAGCTGGCTTCTCCTCATCGGGGGACAGCCATATATTTTTCTCTCACCTCACACATTTTTTTTAACTGGCGTTCTGCCATGTTATCATGGAACATATCTACCTACCTACCACTGCTCCTAAGGCTATACAGAGACCCCTGCAACCATAGCTTTCTACCTCTTCGGTGAAGGGAGATTACCTCTCTCGGTGAAGGGAGATTACCTCTCTCGGTGGAGAGAGGTAATGGCATGTTTTCCCCTTTGCCCTACCGTCTTAACCCGAAAACAAGGTACGTATCTTGTATTCAAGTTACCTCCGAAGAACGGGTTCTCAGAAATCGCTGTTAAATTTTTGAATAGGAGGTACCCTTGAAAACAAGGTACGTACCTTGTATTCGAATACAGGGTACGTACCTTGTATTCGAATACAGGGTACGTACCTTGTATTCGAGGTGTGCCTTGTTCACGTAACTCTCTCTCTCTCTCTCTCTCTCTCTCTCTCTCTCTCTCTCTCTCTCTC